CTGTTGTTGAGAATGGAGAGGTCATTGCTTTACTTGATATAGCAAAGTGCTTATATGATGCTATTGCTCGAATGGAAAGGGCAGCTGAAAAGGGAAAGGCTATTGCTGCTGCTGTGGAAGGTGTTGAAAAACATTGGGGCACATCTACTTCTGGTTAGTAGACATTTATTCTTCTTTTAATTTCTTTAATCACATTCTTTAATATTTTTGCAGCTTTTAGGAATAACTTCCTTCTTATGTAGATTTATGTAATGGAAAGTAGTTGGTTTCCTCATAAACCAAAGATTAACTTTATGCTTTTTATTTGAGATGCAGGTTCCAATACATTTGTTGAGACACTTCGGGAGCGGTTGTTTAGGCCATCCTTGTCTACAATTATTCCAGAAAATTCAAAGTAGGTAATATTTTTATGTCTGTTATTTTATGTGGCCAGATGTTGAAGATTTTACAAGTTTTAATTTAACAGATAGATATGTCTTTCAGGGTTTTAACAGTTTCACCAACAGATAATGTTTTGATGACAACAAAGAAGATGCAGGAGATGCGAGTAAGCTCTGCAGTTGTGACAATTGATAACAAGCCACGAGGAATTCTTACGTGAGTTTCTTGTCTTCTGTTTCTTTAAGTAAAAAACATTGCACTTTACCTTTTTCTCAATAATATTATCCTTTCTTGTCACTGTCATCACTGTATCGTTTTACAGATAAAATGAATTGTGAATTGTGCTTTTGATTCTTGTCAGTTCAAAAGATATCTTGATGCGGGTAATAGCACAAAATCTTTCTCCGAAGGCCACTCTTGTAGAGAAGGTACATGTCTCTATCCGTTTGGAAATTTTGTTCTTTGGACCATCCTGATGAAAACTGTAATTCAATCCCTCTGTCCTTTTCTTATCTGGCCAGAAGTTGTAATATCTGCTGATTCCAAGGAACACTTCATTTTATGTGTAAGTGAAGGAATATAAATTATCCACATATCTTAGCTTTCTTTTGAATTAATTAATAGGTCATGACTCAAAATCCAGAATGTGCCACAGTTGATACACCAATTGTTGATGCGCTGCATACAATGCATGACGGAAAATTTTTGCACCTTCCTGTTGTAGACAGAGGTAAAATCATGATATAGTAAAAGTTTTTTTGTTTTGTTAAGTAACAGAAGATTTTTAGTTTCTGATGATTATGGATGGCCATATACAGATGGAACTGTGGTTGCTGTTGTTGATGTAATTCATATCACTCATGCTGCTGTAGCTACTGTAAGTCATGTCTTTACCTACTGTTAATTATTGTGATTTACGTCAATCTTGCAATAATCTTTCTAGGATAACAGGAATATATCCACTTATTCATGCTTTCAGCATTACTTGATGAACTGATCTGTAGTTCTTACATATATCCATGGAATAAGGGTTTGAAATTATGTATGTGGCATGAAACATCATTCTCATTTTGCTGTCCTTACTTGACCTGTTTACTAATGACATGCTTTTCACAATTCTGAACTATCCTAGTGGGGAAAACTTAGGCTTTACTTTCTTTGGCTGTTTAGGATCCTTGGCATCTAGAACAAACATATCATCTCTGCAGTTCTCTTTTCTCTGGATGTTTAATACTTTTTCCCCCCGGGGGCAAAGAAGAAATTGTTTACATAATTGTCTTTGCTAACCAGGTCGGAAATACTGCTGGAGTCAGCAATGAGGCCGCAAGCTCTATGATGCAAAAGTTTTGGGATTCTGCCATGGCCTTAGGTCCACATGAGGAAGATGAGGATTCTCGAAGGTTATATATTTATCTGTCTATATTCATATGTTATCGATATTAACATGAAGGTTCAATTTTTTTATATTTTATGTGTTTATGCATCTTTATTGTCATCTCAGTGAAGGGTCATTGAAGCTGGCTTCTGACGGAGCAGAGACGGGGAGATCGCTTCCCTTTCCGTCATCAAATTTTCCGAATACGTTTTCTTTCAAACTTCAAGATAAGAGGGGTCGAATGCATAGATTTACTTGCAGTATGCTCTTTGTTCCAGTTACCCATCAAATTACTGTGTGTGTATATATATTCGTGTGTGTATTGGAACAAACAATATTTTTTAGGCTTTTAATTCAGATTTCCTGGTTGAGCCACCTAATCTAGCATATATTTCACGTTCAACAAGAACAATTTGGCTAACATTAGCTCTTGACTGGGGTTTCCCTGTTATGGCTTTCTCTTTAGATATTCAGAGTTTGACAGAACTTATAACCTCCATTATTCAGAGAATGGGAGATGACATTGACCGCAACAACCTTCCTCAAATTTTGGTATTTCTAAGATAACAATTTACATGTTTTTTGAGTCTGACTCGAGTTCTATCTTTCTAATCTTCTTTTAATTGGTGGAAAATTGTGTAGTATGAAGACGAAGACCGTGATAAAGTTATATTGGCATCAGATAATGATCTTGTAGCAGCTGTGGAACATGCAAAGCAAGTTGGTTGGAAGGTATGATTATCTGTCTGGTGTTGCTTGGTGCTTAGAGAAGAGAAAATATAGTGAAGTATGCAACTGAATTAGGTCTTAGTTTCTGTTATCAATTTTCCTGTGAAGTCTGACGTAGAAGTGATCAACTCTGCAGGGTTTGAGACTGCATTTGGATTATTCAGGAATACGCGGTCGCCGAAGGGGTTCAGCTGGAGGAAGTGTGGATTATGCTTATGCAGATTCTGCATGGTCATCAGCATACAGTACCGTTGCAGCTGGGGCTGCTCTTGTTGCCGGCTTAGGCGTTTTAGCGTACTTGAAGAGATCCGGCAACTGATACTATTTCTGTTTGAAGAAGGCTAGAGTGATTTTCCAAGAGCAGCAGAACTCTCTTCCTGGGACCTCAATGGAATTGGCAGGGAGGGCATAACTTGTGCTTCATACGTCTCTTTATAGAAACTATACCACATATACAAGTGAAATTCAATTCTTCGTTTTCTAATTATTGCTGAATTACATGCTTGATTGTTTCTCTGATGCGTACTCACGCGACTTCATGAACTTGTGTAAAAATTAAACGCTGCCACCTGAAATGTGCAAGTTCTTGAATTCGGAGGATTTGGATTGATTTTGTCGTATCGAACATGTGGTATGTTATGTTGTTAGAGTGTCAGAATATTGACAGTGTATTCATACAGATCTCATTTGATCTATAATCGTGATTGACATTGTAAAAACATAATATTTCATAGTGCTTTTAAGTTTTGAATATTTTCAACACAAAATTGAAAACTTAACTTCTTGTTCTACGTAAATTTTGTATTTCAAAGTGGACACATGAACTGAAAATAAGTTACACAGAGCCAATGCCATTCTTCTTTTTTATGTCTAATCTTCCATCACAGTAGTGGGACAGTGAGAGAAGCAAAAGTGGCTTAGTGGATGATCACCACAAAATTTCCACAACTAGCAGACACATGGTGTCAATCTGGGCCGTCCGTCTTGGAGCTGCATTCTTTATTTTCCTTGTCGGCCCTTGGGCCCACCTGGCCCAAAATCCTCTAATTTTTGTAACTTTTTTGGTTTTTAATGGTGGAAAATTTTGACTTTATATATGCTCATTTTTGTTTGGTTAATAATTCATCAAAATCTTTATATTTCTCTTTATGTGGACCCCCTTAAAACATGGCCATCGTTATAATGTACATATTAAAAGGATAGATTGAAGTCACACATTCACATGGCAATGTACATATTATATGATATTGCCTATTGCCTCCACTCTCCAAAGTGAAAAAAGAGAAAAAGAATAAAAAGAGCCCTATTGTATTTGACATCAAATCTCACATCATCTTTATATTTGCAAGATATGTGGCATGATTCGCATGCACAGCATTATCAGAATAATTTAGCCTATTTTTGGCATTGGCATCACCAACTTTTGTCTGGTGGAAATGGCATCTCCATCGCCCACGGACTGTTCCCCCAAATTCTTCAGAAACTGCTATTTTCAGTGGTATTTGTAAATTTAATTTTCGGACGGATCGGATCGGAATATGAAATTTTGTAGCTTAACGTAGATTTTGATATTTAGTGACGTAATTTAATTTGCTTGCTGTTGACAGTTAATTTTATATCAAATTAATTGATAGCAAAAAATGATCACATTAAGAAACCCCCAATGAAAAACCAGAAGAAGAAGAAAGGCCACAGGATATTCTCATATATTTCAGTCAAACCCTTTGACATTCTTTGCTTCTTATTCTGCTATTCATACTAGTTGTTATACATACAGTGAGTGGGTGGTTCCTTGCCATCATGCAATCACTTCTTCAACGTTAACAGAATTTGCGAAAGAGATGGATTTTGGAAAACCATCTTTCCATGTTTAACACAAATTCTGTATAAACACAGAGTAGTTATCACATTCACTTTTCCTTTTGTTGCCTTTTGTTGCCTTTTGCTTTTTTCTTTCCAAAAGAAACAGACCATCACCAAGGGCCTATTGCACCAGTACAAAACCAGAAGCTTCTTCTCATCTGTTCTTGCTCTTGTACTCTGTACCCAAAAATCCATCGCCCTTGTATCTCTATCTCACTCTGTCTCTTTAAATAAAAATATCTAGCATAGATGCAGTAATTATTTATTCAGATTCTCTTCCACATACTCATTGTTTCCTTCATTAGCCAGACAGACCCATTTGGCTAAGGAACCTCTCTCTCTCTCTCTCTCTCTCTCTCTCTCTCTCTCTGTG